GACCTTTTTTAATTATCCTTATTCCGGCGATAGCCACACATGTGCTGAACATGTTCTGTAAATTTGATCAAAATCGGTCAAGTGGTTTCTGAGATATCATGGACGCCAGTTCAAAAGAAGTAGTTTCGAGAAAAACGCGTTTGACAGTTTAAGTATACTTAACCACGCGCTTGAACATACTGGCTTATTAGTGCTAGCTATAACTTATTATTATCCAAATGTCCTAAATTTTGTTTTGCCAATATATAATTTTTCATAATCTCTATTTCTTATAATAGTCACCGTACATAAATTCCCTTTTTCGAATTTTGAAATAACATATGATACAATTAACAGAAATTTCATTTTACCTAAAATATCACGTCTTAGTTTTTATGCAGTTGTTTCCCATCTATTTGTTTTATATATTTTGATTAAAATTGTCGGTAAAGTAGATGTAGATTCTACATAAACAAAAAAAAATCTTTATTTTCTTTACCGACAATTGTAATCAAAATAATTATATAAAACACATAGATGGGAAACAACTGCTTAAAAACTAAGACATGATATTTTAGATGAAATGAAATTTCTGTTGTTTGGTTCATATGTTATTTCAAAATTCGAAAAAGGGAATTTATGTACAGTGACTATTATAAGAAATAGAGATTATGAAAAATTATATATCGGCAAAACAAAATTTAGGACATTTAAATTTCTGTGTTTTGTGAACTATGTCAAATAGCAAATAGTGTCAGTGAATTTAAGGTTATGTGGATTTTAGAAAAATAACAATTATAACAAATAAAGTTTAGAAAATTGAAATTTATGTAAAATAATATTTCAAAACAGTAAAAATTATACTAGATGAAAATTCTAGATAATTGAAATTCGAACATTTAAAACTTCTAACCAATGGTTAATCGTCAAAATAAAAATTATCAGAAAAATTCCTGAAGTGGATCACCCAAATTAAAGATTTACTGTATTTGCTTGGAAATATCGAAAATTGAAACATTATTATGAGTTGAAAAACTGCCTCAAAGGATTTTTCAAAAAAATTAAATTTCTCAAAGTTATAAACAATTGAAGTTTTTTGTAGTCTTAAGGTAAAAAATAAATATATTAGGACTAAGTTAACGGATCTTTATAAAAATTGGTATACTTACACAGAAAATAATACAGTTTTAGTTGAAAATTTTTGATTTTTCATAATTGTTATTGCAAAATTAATTGTTTATTTAAAAAAAAAACCATGTTCTCGTTGTCGAAGTCGTAGAAAGTTGATCCAAAGTTTATTGGAAAGAGAATTTCATAAGGATTCGAAAACCGTTTTAAAATTTCGTAGATCGCAATTAGCAAAAAAGTTATTGCGTTTTTTGTGTGACGCTGCGTGTCTCTAGCGCTAGCACGCAGAATGTATTTTGCTCAAAAAGTTTGGAAACTTACAAATATGAAATATCGCGAAAAGTACGAATTTTTATAAAAAATGTTCAAGACAAAAGTTGTTCCTAACAAAAAGATCTACATTTGTGAACCCAAAAAATTGGTTGTTGTTCTTAAATAAATCCTCTAATTTTCAGAATCAAATTCGTAATCTCTATGAAATTATATGTTTTAACGTACGTGTGAAGTATATGCCCAAAATATTGGTCTGAGGAATCTTACATTGAGCTCTAGACCTTATGCGAAAATTAACTTCGAATTTTTAATATGTTACCCCAAAAATCCCATAAGCCGCGATTTTTTTAAATTCACTTATTTGAAGAAAAATGTTAGGCCTAATGTCTAGGATTCTATCTAACGAAATTCGGATAAGTGAAACTTTGGTCAAATAAAGTATCGGGGAAATAAAAATTCTTAGTCTTAAAAATTTAGCTAAGTAGAATTTCTGTTAAATGACAATTCCATTAAGGGTATGTAGGCAAAGAACGTTTTTTTGTTGCTTGAAGCTGTCTCTGAAATGAAAAATGATTTCGGGTTAAAATTATGGAGCAATGAGTTTGTTTGGTGCAAGGAATCTCGCTGTTCTTCACATTTACTATAACATAACGTAAAAATAATAAAATTAAGCAATAAATAGTAAAATAATGTGTTTTATTCAAGTTCATTCAGTGGCCACTCGATCGAATTGGCGCTGTTCCCTGGAGCACTGACACACTCATGCAACGTCTGTGTATGCGCCGCCATCTTTTTTTTCCATTTTCATTTAAAAATGCCACTTTTTAAACTTCATTTTTTAATAATTTAACGTAAAATTATGTATTTTTTGGAGAACAGCGAGATTCCCTGAACCCAAATCTATCAAATTTCAAAATTTTAGACAGAAATATTTTCTCATTTTAAATTCAGATGTATACTACCAAAACACATGTTCCCATACTAGGTCACGTAGGAGGTTCCCACATACCCTTAAATAAAAATTAAATATAAAAGAAATTTTATTTCCTAATAAAAGGATAAATAGAAATTTGACAAAAGCACAATTTTAATAAATAAAAATTCTTCTTTATGAAAATTATTCTAGACATAAATTTTGTTAAATGGAAATTGTATTATTTGAAAATTTGAAATATTAGAAAATCTGCTTTATCAAAGTTCAGTTAAATAAAAATTCAAGAAAATAAGAATTTTTTTAAATAGATATTTTTCGATATTAAAATTGGACTCATTGTAAAATCTACTTTTCTAAAATTCTACTAAATGTAAATTCGATAATTTTTAATTCAACACAACAAAAATTCCGGCAAGTATAATTTGGGGAATATTCATGCTTCTTCATTTTTGAACCAAAAGAATTGGGCCCGGGGGCCAATGTGAGGCCTTACAGCAAAAAAAGTAGTCTTTTGAAATGAGACCACTAATATTGTGTATAAAAATCGTAATCCTCATAAAATTCTGCGTTTACACATGTGGTAAAAATGCACAAAATATTAGGCCCAATTTTAGACATTGGGCCCAACATTATTCTTCAAATAAGTGAATTTACAAAAATCGCGGCTTATGGAATTTTTGGGGTAACATATTAAAAATTCGAAGTTAATTTTCGCATAAGGTCTAGAGCTCAATGTAAGATTCCTCAGACCAATATTTTGGTCATATACTTCACACGTACGTTAAAACATATAATTTCATAGAGATTACGAATTTGATTCTGAAAATTAGAGGATTTATTTAAGAACAACAACCAATTTTTTGGGTTCACAAATGTAGATCTTTTTGTTAGGAACAACTTTTGTCTTGAACATTTTTTATAAAAATTCGTACTTTTCGCGATATTTCATATTTGTAAGTTTCCAAACTTTTTGAGCAAAATACATTCTGCGTGCTAGCGCTAGAGACACGCAGCGTCACACAAAAAACGCAATAACTTTTTTGCTAATTGCGATCTACGAAATTTTAAAACGGTTTTCGAATCCTTATGAAATTCTCTTTCCAATAAACTTTGGATCAACTTTCTACGACTTCGACAACGAGAACATGGTTTATTTTTTAAATAAACAATTAATTTTGCAATAACAATTATGAAAAATCAAAAATTTTTAATTTTCAAATTTTCAACTAAAACTGTATCATTTTTTATGGAAGTATACCAATTTTTATAAAGATTATAAAGACTACAAAAAACTTCAATTGTTTATAACTTTGAGAAATATAATTTTTTTGAAAAATCCTCTGAGGCAATTTTTCAATTCATAATAATGTTTTAATTTTCTATATTTCCAAGCAAATACAGTACATCTTTAATTTGGGTGATCCACTTCAGCAATTTTTACTCTTATGTTAAAAGGTAATTTGATTATTTAAAAATTAGAATAAATGATTATTCGAAAAAATAAAAATTGTGTCAAACGTTATTTCGAAATATTAAATTTATGTGAAATGACATTTCAAAAACATGCAAAGTATATTAAATGGCGATTATGATGAATGAATTTTAGGTTATGTAATTATTTGGAGAATTAATAATTGTGATAAATAACCATTCGGAAGAATGAAGTTTATACTAAAGAAGTTTTCGGCAAAATAAATATTATGTCAGTAGATAATTCTATTATTTAAAAATTAGAATAAATGATTCTTCGAAAAAATAAAAATTATGTTAAATGGTATTTCGCAATATAAAAATTATGTAGAATGACATTTCGATGATCAGAATTTCGATGTCTTGAAAATTATGAAATTGAAATTTGGAGGATAATCATGCGCCCCAAAATCGGTTATAAATTGGCTGAGTTACATTGCACGGCTCGCGAAAAAAAACATTTTGAGAAAAACGCATATAAAGTTTTCGATACATAGAAGAAGTGTTTTAACTATTGCCTTGATGACGATATGTATTCGAAAATAACTATTGCACTAAAACCAAGATTTACAATCAGACTTGCTAATGACAATTAATAAAATTATATTATATATATTATTATTATTATTATATATTTTATTGTAAAATAACAGTTGGCAAATATGAAGTTAGAGAATTGTTTCCACCTTCGTGTCGTATTGGTTTGCTACATAGATAAAATCTTTTAGGAAATTGACATGAATTCTATGTCAAAGGTCTTATCTACTGGTGTTATGTTTATATTCTCTTTGGAATTACGATCTTGCAGTTTAAGTTTTTAAACAACTGTCAACGCTATTTTATTTTGGACATCATTAAGAACAAATTTCACTAAAAATATGTAAGTTTTCAACCCTAAATAGCAAAAAGCGCTACATAGCGACTAGTGCTATTCGTAATCCCACTACAGTACTTCTGATTATTAGTTATCTAAAAAAAATTTGCGAGAAAATAGATTTTATTTCTTTTCTAAAAACTGTGTTTCTAATGCTTCACAATAAAGTAAAAATTTTCTTAATTCCATCACTTTAAACATTTACAAATGACAGAAAATCAAAATTTCTAACGAATAGTCTCATTATTTAGGAGATGTTCAAAATAGATTAACACTTAAGATAATAAAAAACTTATAGTCTGATTAAATTTACCTTGATTTACATTTTTCTTAATTTAACAGGTAGGCGACCAAGTGAATGGTTAAAATCTGAACCTGAATCATCGTGCAGTGACGAGAGTTTCCGTCATCATGTGACAATTGGTCCACATGGAGGTATTGATTGGATACGTAAGTTAGGATTGGAATCAACAGGAAGAAAATCTAGTGACTCTGAAATAAATGAAGCTAAAACAAGAAGAGGCAATGGAGATGAGTTATTGTTATACAAATCCACAGACTGTATTGTTTCAAAAGATTTTGGGTCTTCTTCAGACAGCGACCTCCTTCGGTAATTATTTAATACAATTTTTAATATAATGTAATTATAAATTAATATATTTTAGCATCAGAGAACTCCAAGAATTTTTCTGTTCATGTAATTGATACATTGTCCTCTTTTATCAATAAACATGACAAACCAATTAACAAGGATGAAGCCCAATTTCTTTTAGAGGCTTAGTAAGAAATTTTTAATTATATCCGAAAACAATGGCACGAATAAAAAAAATAAATAAAATAAATAAATTAATAAATTTTTAAATTTACTTTTGCCTGAATCAAGTCATCCAAACAGAACATTCGTCCGAAATAATTACTTTTGATATCGAAATTTAAATAAGACAAAATATCTGTAGCTGTACATACTTTATGATGTACAAAGAAACTGGTAAGAAGTAGTATTGGAAAAATTTACATATCGGCGATTGTAAGCAGAAACACACCATTTCAGGTGAGTAATGATTTGAAAATAATTCCATATCAGACGTCAAGTTTTTGTTAACAATTTTAGGTTGGTAACACGATAAATGAGAAACTGTTCAATAAAGAAGATACTATTTTGTTCAATTAAATTATTTACTTAAAGATTTTTTAAATGACATTTTTTAATTAATAGTTTTGATATGTCAGGTTAAAATTCTATCAACTTAACCATTAAAATTAAACAAACAAAATAATCTTTTTTTATTAAACAATTTCTCATTGATAGTGCTGCCAATCTAAAAGAGTAAATAAAAGTTTAACATATGAAATATCATATTCTTCAAATCTTTACAAGAATAGCAGGTTTTCCAAGTATTTTCTAGAATGTCATGTTTCTCAACACTCACCTGAATTGGCGTGTTTTTGCGCTCAATCGCCGATTTGTTTATAAAATATTTAAATTTTTATTAACATTAATTATGAGTAAAGTAACCATCTTATAATGGTAGACTTTCGTGTGTTAAAAAAACCACGAGCACCGTCCACATTAATCGAACACAAAATACTTAACTGAAATTACGCTAAAATAACCAAAGAGAGATTCCGACCAAGAAAAACCATCGGTGCATTGATGATCCCAAAACAAGATTAACCAAGAAACACCTCACCAACGTTGAAATGACGATACTAAGGCGACGTTGATGGACGCTGATAAATCAAAAATAACAAACGACAAATAACAACATAGTAACTCACATTTAGTTAACAAAGAATAAAGATTTATGTAACCAAACTACATAGTAATTAAGCGTGTAACGCGATACTTAATTATAAGTCCCTCGAAAGGGTCTTCCCTTTGATACGATCCAAAATCGACTGTCTATTAACGCCGACTTCCCCTAGATCTCCTAATCTGTTAAGAGGGGCGCGCTATCACTTTTCCTAGTAACCCCTATCGCCTCTATCCTTCTCTCTGGACGATTTTGTCGGCAGCACCCCGGAAAACCTAGAAAACGACGCTGACAATCGGGCCTTTAGGCAACACAAACATGCGCAAATCCTAACGCAGAAAAACAGCTAGAACACAGGTTCATGGCACGCTAACACGAAAAACTACACAGCTGACTTATCGAGAGGGGCAAAAACGCTGACAGATACCAACCAATATAAATAACGATTTACATCGTTACAATCTATATTGCTAATGTTTTACAAACTACAGTTTGATCTGAGAAAATTTTTTTTTGAATTGGTACACATCAGAAATTTTGCCTCATATAAGTAGGTACAATAAAACTTATTAAAATTCTGAAATTGAAATAGTTGTAAGCTACGCCCAGCATTTTGGATATTTTATTATTGATAGGCGGCACCACTTATCATTATTGTTAACAAAATAGTAGACCACTTTATAATTAAAATTCTCGAACGTTTATCGAGTAGACGAAACTTAAGAGCAACAAATCTTAGTGGCATAAAATGTGCATCTAATAAGTAGCATCTAACATTGGAACCCCCATTTTATTTCTTAACTTGCTTTTTACCCTATTGTAAGTTCCCATATGAGATCCGGTACAAGATCACTTATGGTTTCTCATTCATGTGAGATACAAACGTTGGTAAGGGGGATCAAGTATCTGAAGGGGAGGGAAGAAGTTGTCTGCCATATTAGTCGGGGAATGTTTTCTTGTTTCTGATTGGTTGATTCGCTGATTGGCTTTTGAGCATATGGCGGTAAATTTAAACGGAATATTCACAACATGAATGTGTTCTTATAACACAGCCCCACAAAAAAAACTGTCATGTACTTTTGACCGGAATACCCTAACCCTATGTATTTTGACGCACTGAACACGAATCCGAAGTCCGTTTTGCTCCATCACGTCAGGATTTTTTTCTAACCTCAAAAAACATGTCGGATTTTGAGAAGTAGGCGATTTTTTTAAAAATTGATGTATTAACTTCAAACTTGGTATCTGGGGGTTTTTTGTGTCGCTGATTACGAATCTGAAGTTAGATTTACAAAATGAAAAATGTCAGATCCAATATGGCGGACGAATTTTGAAAAAATTTTAAGATTTACTTCAAACTTGGTATCTAGGGGTGTTTTGGGTCGCTGATTACAAATCTGATGTCAGTTTTCAAAAATTGATAATGGCGTATCTAATGTGGCCGATAGAAGTCCATGTTGGATATGCCATTTTGAATTTTTGAAATATGACATCAGATTCGTAATCAGTGACCCAAAAAACCCACCGATACACTATTGCACATTAATTTTTGAAAAATTTCGTAAAATAATTTCCCCCTACCAAAAAAAAATTCAAGGGGTATTTCCCCCCCATAAATCAGCTTTTGGGGAAAAACAAAACATACGTGTCAAATTGTTTTCAAAAAACGACAAAACTGCCAAGTTTCAGAAAAATCGGCGTATGGCACTTCCCTAGTGTTACTTGTCAGCAACTTAGAAAACCTGTAGATACCAAATTTCATAATAATCTGACAATTTTTTAAAAAATAATTCCTTAATATTGAATCAGACATATCGAATTTCGGAAATCTGACATCAGATTCGTAATCAGCGACCCAAAAAACCTCTAGATACCAAGTTTGAAGTAAATCTTAAAATTTTTTCAAAATTCGTCCGCCATATTGGATCTGCCATTTTTCATTTTATAAATCTAACTTCATATTCGTAATCAGCGACACAAAAAACCCCCAGATACCAAGTTTGAAGTTAATACATCAATTTTTAAAAAAATCGCCTACTTCTCAAAATCCGACAGGTTTTTGAGATTAGAAAAAAATCCTGACGTGATGGAGCAAAACGGACTTCGGATTCGTGTTCAGCGCGTCAAAATACATAGGGTTAGGGTATTCCGGTCAAAAGTACATGACACTTTTTTTTGTGGGGCTGTGTAATTAATACTATAAAAAATTATTGAAATAGGTGTATTAAATATAATAATTAAATTATATAGAAATAATTGACTACATAATATAATGGTATTTTTAAAATCTTTTTAACAACATAACCTCAAAATATTCACTATTACTGTTTAAAATAATTAACCTGTGGAAAGTGATTTTCCTCTCCGACCTGCTGTTTATTTCCACTATTTTTCTTCTTCTATAAATATAATTTTTACAACTTTTTATTACACTGTTCTTCATGATTTTCACATTGAACCTAACATTTAGTCATATTTATTTTCACAACTAAGCAGGTTATGTGTCAAATACACTGCACATGTTTACATTTTCCGACGATTTCAACGTCACCAATCAGAACCCTAAAATAGTTTCTCCGACCAATATGGCCGCGATACATTAGTTCCCGCTTACGTCTGTCGGCGCATGCCCCGCAAGATAGTACTCCGTCCATATATTCTTAGGTCCATGATTTTCTCTATCAAGTAAAGTAAACAGTGACATAAATCGGTGACGTGAGACTTTCTGTTCTCCTTACTATGTTTGGTAAGATTGTTAAGTGGGGAACACTTTCCCACCTGAGAAAGAGTTGTACTTCGATTAGAAAGCCGACGACATGATCATTAGCTTCCTGAATTCTGAATGTATTAGTCAAGTCTTCATGCAAAGTATTGTGCAGTATTTAGAAAGTGTTCTAAATGCGTCTTTACTATTAAAGGAGGAAGTGAAAATAATTTATAATTATTTTTCCCTAACTTTTAGGTGATTTGATTTACAGTTATACTGTTAGTTTACAGTGGTTACAGTTCATCAATTCTCCCGAATAGTCATTTGCCCGAAAAGAAATTAAAATGCTGTCAAAGACCTCAACGCTTTAATTTTATTTATAGTGAAGAAAATTATAAACCCGACATTTATAAATCGCGAAATCAAGGATTTATTTATAGTTCATGATAATGAGTTAGCATATTTGAACCTCGAATAAGTAGATTTCTGTATCTATATTATTAAGCTTTAACCCCACTACGGTAAGACCCGAGAAATCTCGGGGTAAATAACCTAAACAAAACAACGGATTTACCTGATCCAAAATGCAAATTTACCCTATATGATAGCAACGGTAAAAAGTTTTTTTTAACAATGTTACATAACTTTTAATGTTTCTTGGTAATACACATGTAGTCTTCGAGTCTTTTTCAACAGTACATATCTGTTTCGAATAATCTATAGACGTTTTGCAATTACCAGGTTCGACATTTTTGACATTAAATATATTCGTGTTTTCGTGTGGGACATTTTCTGATTTATTAATTTGCTCAATATTTTTTAGAATTTAAGAAAACGATACATCGGGTTTGATTAAATTATTTGAACATTTATTTATTCTTATTTGTTGTTGGTTCACTGTCCTTTTCTTCAGGAATTTTGTTGTGGTTTGGACGAGTCTCGGCATATGACATATTAGTGTAAGATTTTTTATGATGGCCTGTACCCTATAAGTTTTTTTGAGTAACTGATGTCTATTTTTCTTTTCATTTAAATGGTTCTTAGTAGTTGTGTCTGTATGTGTGCTTTGCAAAGTTTTCTCTGTCTCAGAATAGGGTGGTAATAAGCTAATAGAATTAATATTTACATTACCATTATCTTGATATGACG